ATCGTCAGTGAATCTCGCCATTCGTAGCACCATATTACAACTTGTCTCTTTGATGAGTTGTAATATGGTGTTACGAATAGCAAAACTCACTGACGATGCCGACGAAACGTTTGGGAATTTACCACGTCGACGGTCCGACTGGAAATTATCAGGAATACAAATGACTCCGGACTAGGTGTGTTCCTCTAAGTCTTCCTACCAATATGATCAAGTTTCGTAAACAAGTTCAATCAATTTCTATACGACAAAAGTAGACTGCGACTACACAAAAGGCCGAACCATCTTGGTTTTCATACCTTCAATTATCACTGTCATTGCCTGCAAAACCAATTGGCAGACGGTGCATTTAATCGGATAACAGACGGTCATAACCAGCTTATTACCAGAATCGAGTGTTTTGTCTGTTAAACTGACTTTAAATTTGTGTGTAAGTGTGTAGTAATTTGACTCGTAAGCCAATCTTACGAGAAACGACAGCAATTGACCTTGGCCTGAAGTGATTTGACCACATCCAGAGGTTGCTAATGATACAACCGGCAGTCACCATTCTTACAACACTTTTACGCTAGCACCAAGTCAGGAGGGCTAGTAGGTTTTTTCATTGAAATGGCATTTAGTAGGCAATCTTTTTTCGGTTCTAAATGAGGTCAAGTTACCAATACATTTCATTCAGTTTTTCGTGCGAAATAATATGACATTATTAAGAGATTATTCGAGACCCAGGCACTCATAGCACATACTAACCTGCTATTAATATTAGCATGACCAGGAATTAGGCATGTATACCAAGCTTTGCCTTGTCTATTTGTATGATTGTATTTACTTATATTTCTTCTCAGAAAAGTTGAACAATTTTATCTTCAAATAATTAAAGCAGATATACCATCCTTCATAGAGAATCCCCCAATAAATCTAGCTCAGACAAATGCATCATTGTAAGTTTGTTGGTTGAGTTGATGAGCTTCATTTCAAAATTGAACTTAAATAGAATTTAATCGAAAGGAGGAAGACCAAGATGATATGACATTTAGCATTATCATGGTCTCCTTTCGTTGTATAGAAATGGTTTGATCTCTTTTTCGTAACTTGGTTCTGGTGTCAGGGAGACCTAGATAAACACAATTTATCCGGAATCTATTATATCCATGATACCCTCCAGTGTCTGACTTGGTACATTTTAGTGAAACTTGGCAGTCTTCGTCATGTCACGAACAAAGGCTCAATCAGTTTTCGTCCAAAACTTTAGAAGATGTCTCGTGGATTGCATTAATCTGAGCGTCGTATTAACTCAGACCGGCTGCAGTACAATGCGAATCAGTCAATGTCTTCTGGTGAGATTGACCTATGAATCTCTTCATTATGTACTTCTATACGAAATAAAGTTCTTCACATCTTTCTTATCTCAGGAGATTCTTCGAAGCACACATTTTATTTGCACACACATGTATAACTCTGTGAAAAGTGGTGAGTGGAGATTCAATATGTAGTCCAAATATTTGCACTTAGATATTGTCATTGGACGTGAAATATGTGGTCCTAACTGACAGGTTGATCAGTCGTGCTAAAGACTCCTTCCGTATTCGCTCTGCTTCCAGGATATCTGCTCGTTCCAAGATCTCCTGCACAGTGCAGACTGACTTCTTGTCTGAGATATGTGTGTACATGAATCGTACGTCAAAACTTACCAACAGTTCCGTCCCTTCCAGTCCAATGTTTTAGATCCTTTGAGAAATTTCTCTAGCTTGTGTGTCGCTTAATGGTTGTTGTTGATTATTATCACTAAAAGTTTCCCTTCTTTGTATATCTTTGATAGTCCATAGGCTGTTGGTGATCTTGCGTCATTTTTAATTAAGAAATTCATCACATCTCGATTTCTCCGTTATGTTTTTCCTTCAATGTATCCTCCAGGATTCCGTTGTTTTTCATGCTTGGATCCTTTTCGGTGTTTGATAAGTGTTCCAGTCGCATAACATACTTTCCATTTTCCCCTGTTTTGTTTTCTGTCGATTATCACCTTTGCTCATCCATCATTAGCCTGAAGGACTATTTGGTCGTTTCTGTGTAATTTTGTGATTCCTTATCAATCATACTGTTTACTCGATATTATTTCCATTTCTATATTCTTTTTGGTATCCTTTGGATATTTTTCTGATATGTTCACAGGCTTTAAAAGGATATCTTTTAAAACGTTTCCTAGTGAAAGATTTAATTACTTATTTAGGAGCTCCATGAATTTGCAATTAGAAGGGACTGGAGAAAAAATCCTTGCCTTATCGCCATCGACTAGCAGACATGAAGCTCTGAGACGACAATTCGAAAAATGACTGGAATCTATGAAAGGAAGCTAGATTTAGAATAACCCCTTAGTATATAGATAATTGTATACCCCTCATTTCGGCTGAGAAGTCGGGTGGAAGGGATTAGTGGACTGGCCTCATCGGGTACTGAGGGAAGGTTGCTTTGACTTTTGTCTGTTCATGCTCCTATGACCCAGATGACTCCGTGCTAAGCTTTCGTCCGTCATGTGATAGACATCGTCAGAACCATAAATTATCATTCCTGAATAATCACAAAAAATATTAAACCAAGAAAGGTGGCTAACCGAGATCCGGCTGGCTTCTTATACCTCAATTTGCAATCTTAACGAGGCATTGCATTATTTGATTGGCTGCTTTATGCTTGTTCTCCATGCATATTAGCGGGTCGAAGTGATGCAGTAAGGGGAATGGATGTTTTCATATATATATATATATATATATCATTAACAGATTTTCATGATCAGTCGTTAGGTAAACTTCTATTATTTTTTAGCTCATTATTTACTTGGAAATATTCCACTAGTATTCAGTAGTAATCTTTATTTTATGTAACAAATATTAAAATATCAGTAAGGGGACTTTATTATGCTTGTTATTGTATGCACTTATTGACCAGTTTGCTGGGTGTGGTATAGCAGTGCACGAAAGCATCACAAGTGCTTGCTTATAGAATTAAAAAATTTTAATTCAGGCTTAGCTTGGATCTTTATGTCACCAACCAACATTCTAAACGAATCGTGTTATTTTTTTACAAAACCATTTCTCCTCTTCCGTAGATTTTACATCAGTGCATCTTCTTATTTATTTAGCATTAAATCTTGTCGAACCAGTCGGTAAGCCAGAGAGCACCTGATTTCTAGCAAACGGTTACCTACCAGTGCACCAATAGTTTCTGGGTTAAGGAACATTGAATTAATTTGAACCTATTCAATATTCCAGAGAAAATAATTCAAAGCGCGCCACTCAAAGGAATGAGATTGCCGGGTCTTCCGGTTCTTGGGCGCGAGTGGGATAATCGAGTTTTTTCGTTATTGAGTTGGTTTTTGAGACTACTAGTAAATCATATATATGATTTGTGTTAACCCTATTTCGTTTAAGGTAATGAGAGATCACACGCTACACTGTCATGGTTCGACTCCCGATGGAGGTGTTGATAAGACCTAGGCGAGGTCAAAACTGCAGTTTACTCTGGATAGGAACACCTTTTGGGAAAGCAAGGCTATATTAAAGTAGATATAAATGCCAGCCCTGCTAATCATTGTGGTAAAATTAAACTAACTGACCTTGATCACCTTAAACGAAATATGCTAGACACAACTCAGCTAGTTTTGTTGGTATAGTTTTTGTCTTATTTTATGTCTCGCTTTCTGTCTTTCATTCAGGTATATGCGTTTGGTGGCTTTCTTGACTCCAACCAAGAGTCGGCGCTAATTTCAATGCAGATTCTCTTTCATCTTTCCAACCGACCGGATCTGGAGTTCCGGTTGAACCTCTTTTGCTGCACTCGTTTGAATGATTATTTTGATGCTCAACTGTGCTTCCACAAGCCTCAGGTTACAGATGTTGTTCTAAACTTGTCTGAAGGCCGTTTTTCGCCAGCACTCATCGGTCTGCCAGCTCGAGGGCCTCTTTTTTTGTTGCGTAATTCTCGTTTCCTTTTCCGTACGCCAACCAGACTCGTTTCTGTTTATGATCCACGCTGTGGGCACTTTTTAATTGCCCCGTTTTGCACATCGACATGCCATACTTTCGATATTGCCTCGCTTGAGAAGGCATGCCAGATCGACCTGCGCCGCTTCTCCACCACACCCAACCAGGAGCCAGACCATTTTTATGACCTCCTTCGTTTGACTGGTCGTCTATTTCGTTGTACTCCAAATTTCTTGAGGGATTATTTTCCCTCAGGTCGAAATCTAACCTTTCAATTCATCAGATCGGATCAATACTTTGTCTCTACTGGGCAAACGAAAACGGGCTGGGTAGCCCTGAGTGATGAAGCCGACTCGGCGTCACGTAAAGAAGGTGAATTTTTAGCGTTGCTTCCTTCTACCTGCTAATGAAGATGAGAGAACACACCCACACCTAATCTGTCTTCTACAACTTATCCTAACCTGAACTCACAACGAGGTCTTGAAATGGATAATTAGTTGAACACGATGAGGCCGTCTTTCCCCGTCATATAGACCCGTTTCTTACATGTCCCATTATTTGGTCTGTAAGCAATACTGGTTATCTTGATTTACTTTCTAATCATAAACTCCATTTGCGCCAATTATTTCGTCTCCCATGTGCCTCTTGCATAGCTCTTATTGAGTCAGAAAGTCTAGAATGCGGAGATCGAGACTCAATCTCCTCTTATCTCTTCTCTACTCCAACGCATTCTGCCCTCAGTCTCCTGTTTACATAAGTTTAATTGGCTCGCTCAGCTGAGATAAACACACTTGGTCGTCTACCTTTCCTTCGGGTGGGCACTACAACTCTTGTCAGGTAATCTTTCAATTTACACAGGCATGTCAGCCTCTGGGCCGAGAGTGATCTGAACCAAATTGGCATACACACAATGCACTGAGAGTCTTAAAAATAAAAATTTTTCCTTATTATTCTGTGAGGCAAAAGTTCTTTTTTATTTTATTTCCGATCATTATCAAGTGCTTTTCTCTTGAATAGAATTTTGAGCTGAAATGCTTTTTACTCACAGCTTTTGCAGCTGAGCAGGAATGTTGATTCTTTGTCTTATTCAAAATGTACTGATGGTACAAAACATAAATTCTACATGTAAGTGTAATACAGTCGACTTTAATGGCAAAATACACGTTTTTTTGTATTTGAGTAGAGTTTCGAGACTAACAGTTTATCAGTGATATGAGATGTATTCACCCTATTTCGTTTAAGGTGATGAAGTAGTAGCATTTTCCCACAATGGTATGAGTAGAGCTGATGTTTCCATTGACTTTCATCCAGGGTGAGAACAACTTTTGGGAAAGCAAGGCAATGTGAAATTCAATGTAAACGTCAGCTCTACTCATATCGTTGTGGGAAGATTCTACTATCATTCCTTGATCACCTTACATTAAATAGGGTGAATATATCTAAAAATACAAGTTTTCGTCCTCGACAGTCCCACTCTGAATGTGGATTGGGAGAGACATGATATTTTTTGAAATTCATGTATGTCCTGTTACCCAAGAGCGCTCGTGACAGTATGACGTGGTGATAAAATGTCGAGATTATATGCTGCGGGTTCGAGTCCCGCTGGGAGTGCTGATGAGACCAGTCCAAGCGACGTCAAAACTGGTTCATTCTAGCCTGGATGAGAATACCTTTTTGGAAATAGGGCCGAATGCAATTCAATGGAAATGGGAGGCCTTTATAGGATTGTTTGAAAATACAATTGTCATTACTTCATCATGGTGACTGGAACTCTCTATTAAGACTAGGAGTTATTCCAGTTGGGGTTCACAATCTGTCTGTTTTTCAGCATCTTAAAGGGCTCTCATCCATTTAAAGTCCAGGCATCATGACTTCTTTGGAACTATTCAGACTCACAAAGTTTAAGGCTTGGCGCGCCCCATGGAACTGTGGTACTATTCTAGGAAAATGTTACTTTGACCCCGTTTTCGCGACTTAGTCACGGATAACAGAAACTCCTGTAGTACTTGCCCAGTCTTGCCCTATTTGCCAGAGTATTTATGATAATTATCAACATCTGACCATTGAATCAGTGCATTTTAAAAGCTTTTACTGGCATCGTTAATGAGAGGCTCCAGCCTTAGGACTGACTTACATCTCATCGAAGTGGCGAATGAAGGCAATTCTTTTGACAAGTTTTTTGTTTACTTATCGTTTCATCTACCTTCTTTTCTAAGCTCATAGCACTATAGACACATCCCTCAACCTCACTTCATATAACTAACCTATCTATTTATACCTCTGTGTGCCTTCTTTTTTTTATTGTTGTCATTTTAGGCTTTAACTTTGGCTAGAAGTTGTTTGGCTCTGTTTTCGCAATTCGGTCATATTGATAGGAAGAGTTATAGGAATGCACCTAGTCCGGAGTCCATAGTATGCATGATAATTTCCAGACTCAGACCCTGGACGTGGTACATTCCAAGTCGCTTCGCCGGCATCGTCAGTGAGTCTTGCCATTTTGGAATCAGAGACAAGTGAAGCCTATCCTTTGGCCAATTGTCTGCTAATCGATCGTAGTATCTTTCCTTCCCTCTT